CGTGCATGCATACGATTATATGTAAGCAAAAACAGCACCGTGCAATTTAAGAGCATCGTCTCGTTAGAGTAGGATCCTGCCTGCTCTGTACAAGTATTCATTGAGATCAGCTGTGCCGGTGGGTTTATGTCAGCTCAAATGGTAGTAAAGTGAATGAATGAACTTACGGCGTGGATGCTTTATAACTCTGGAGATCCACAGTAGTTCATTGCGAATAAACAGATCCTTTGGTTTGCAATTTACAATACAACACAAGGTGGTTTTTAGCGGGTAACTAATCGGCAAATTTTGGAGCAATTGTCGGCAAATTAGTTATATCGGCAAATTAGTTTACGGCTTAGGTACAAAATGTTTATTCCTAATTGGTTTCCAGTTTTTAAAACGAGAATGTTGCCACCCGGCACTTACGTTCACAAATTTGTGACCTTTCCCGCCAGGCGCCCGTGTTCGTGAGCCCAATTCAACTGACTTGTTGCTAAAAGGCAAGTCAGATAAATATTCTTTAAAAAAATATAACAAGCCAAAAAACTTAAGCTTTCGCAGCCGTTGAAGAAATTTATAATAAAACATGAGAAAACCACCCTTAGAAACCCAGTAATTTGGAATGGTAACATGGCTCTTCAAAATGACATGTAAAATTATTAAATAACTGTAAAAAACCAAAGCATTAAGGTAGGAATAGGCAAAACTCAATAGGCACACATGTACCAAGCTACATGTAGAAATAGGGAAAACGTATTGACAGGATGTGTGTTCATTGGAGTACTGGTGCGTTCGCGCGGCGGCTGTACATTAAAGTAGGCAAGGAAGAAGAAAAGTTTTAGTGGGTAGTCTGAATCAGCAAACAGATGGGTAGTTTTAGCCAATCACATATCTCGAAAACTAAAAATTCGAGCATATGTATTATGTGCCTTCTGACATTAAATTTTGCAGAGACTCAGTTCCGCATAAACATACTCCTGCACCTTCCGTAATGCTTTTTGCGTTCTATAAAGTCAAGAAAAAATGGAAAAAAATGAAAAATGCTTGTGAGCATTTTGAAGGGCAAAAAGCTCACGAGTTTAATCGAAATTTGATATGTGAGAATTTTATGGATTGACAGAAATATGTCTGACATATTTGAAAAAAACTGTAACGATGTTTAGGCGGTGTTATTTTTGTTATTTTTCTAATAATCGGTGCAAAATCCATGAAATTCTACGCTTAATCGATAAAACGAGCGACTAGTCCGGGGGGAATACAGCGCAGTTACACCCGTGAGCATCCATAATCGACCATCAGATATCCAAAACTTCTTATTTACAAACGTGAACATCACCGCCCGGTACACACTTTCATAAACTTAATGCAAATTTGTACTATGTACATATATAATTTACATGCGCAAAGTACGAGGATTAACCTTAGCAGAGTATAAACGCAGCAGTTTATAATGAGAGCGGTTCAATTACCATCGTCTACCGATTGCCGTGCAATTACAAGCGGGAACATCCCGGCCCGGCGCCCATGTTCACGAATGTAATATGAACCGCCGCCATGTAGAGTAAAAGCGCATCTGATTTGCATACAAGAGCGGCAAATGTTAGCGGTATCAGATTACCGCATAGATCTTACAACTTAAGCATCCCTTTCCAGAGTCCGTGCACACAATAATATGAGAAAACATATGCGTTATTCATCGGTCTTCCGAAGTAAAAACAAGCATCATCTGCTTTTTATGTTGCACAGCAGTGCACATTGATAGACAAGCGTGAAGTGTGCTCTGTATACTTCTGCTTTGCGCTATGCTGCATGTTAGATACAAAATAACACGAAGACCTGGCCAGGTGTAAATCACCATGCTGTGTACCTATGTAAAACACAGCCGGTAAACGGGTTACCTGCACCGTGATGAAACTTATCTACGCCCAAGCGACATGCATAATTGTCTCAAAAACCTCCGAGCGCGCAACATCCGCTTGTTCAAAACAGAAAATGGAAATTATTGTAAAAGAAAATGTAAACGGTTAAGTGCGTGTCAGAAACAGAGGTTTACTTTGTCCTTTGCGATTGATAAATATGTACATAGGTGATTCTGAATAACAACCTGTGCCGTTGTACTTCCTCAAAAAGTGCACTGATATTTTCTTTTTGAATTTGTTTTAAACGGGAAAATGTTTTGGACCTAGTTTTTTTTAACCCAATGTAAGCATACAAATCAGAACCTGAAAGCAGTACAAAATAGTGTCTCGTTGTGCGCGAAATGGATCAAGTGTCAGCAGATGTAAACACACTTAGTACCGTTGCCGGGACACGTACCTTAATTATTGTATTTTCAGCGAAAGTGTATTTCAGCAGCAGAAACTCATATTCACAATCTTCTCTGAAATGTGGTGTCTTAGTCATTTTCCAGGAAAAATTTGCATATAATCTGTATAATACCATTTGTGAGCATTTTCGCCCGTCAAAAATGCTCACAAGCATTTTCGCCCGGCAAATATGCTCACACCGTGAACCGTGAACATGTTAACATTCTTGCCGGCTACATCGCGTGAGCTCTCAACTTAACCGACGGAAAGATTGGTCCTACAATTAAACTGTTATAGCGAGGCTTTAATTATCAGGTTAACATTGGAAATGCCCACCCGAGCAAAACAGTTCATGGCCATGTTGAACATGTGGCTGATATAAACGGTTGAACATGTGGCCGAACACATGTAAAAATATTTAATAATAATTAGCAGCGTAATAAGCAATAACAGGCATTATAGTAGATACAAAAATGTAAACGGATTCTGTCCAAGAACCACGAGCGCGCGCAGTTCGCTAATTCCGAACTTTCTGAACTGCCGGAGCTCTTGGTGATTGGCTAATTAGTCGATGAATCATTTAATCTCAGATAACTCAGCAAGATATGACTTGTAATACCTTATCGAAAAATGTATATGATGTGTTACAAATGTCGGATTCCACATGACCACAATCCGTCAATAAACGCATGGTGTCGTGTGACACCAATGGGCATGGATGGTCATGAAGTACGGGCGGCTGCAGTGTCGACCGATGTTTTTATATACGTAATCAGCATACGGTCTTGTAGATTCAGACTTGAAAGTTACAAGCGCCATATGGTTTTGGCTTCGAAAAACCCAGCCAAAAACCTTTGTTGATAGCCACCACGGGTGGTCGTTTCTTGTTCCAAAAGTTATCCGTATCCGGTCAACAAAGCGTTCAATAAAGCCGAACGCGATAGTCATGCTTCCGATTCTACCGCCACTACTATCAATGTGTATGGCATGGTTGCACTGCAGTCATCAAATCGCGGCCAGTTACGGTATCGTTTACTATAAAAGTGACGGTTGTCATTGATTAGCAACTCCACCGCAGTCATGCCGGTTATAGCGCTTATCAAATTCACCATGCTGACACACACAGCTGTTGACGTCGTGTGATTCAGCGCTGAATCGCCACCGACCACTACTGCAACAGGAGCATCCACTACAACTTTCTATGCCACCCGTTACGATAGTTGTTGTCATACCCATACGTTTTGCTAACAATACGTGGTTTTCGCTTTTTTGATTATAGGGTTCGGTTAAGTACTCACTGCAAAATGTTTACCTTTTTTATTGTTTATTGCTCACAGTGGTCAGTTTTTGCTGACCAGTCCAATATCCCTGTTTTGTAATACTTTTGGAATACTATCCGCTGCGCATTTTCGTTTTTGTTAATTGGGGTTCGCATAATTACTATAGAATCACATGTCATTGACGCTAATGACTGTCTCGCCCAATGGTGTCGCCTGAAACACTAGTCACCGCCGGCGACGTATGGTCAGAATAGGCAAATAAAAAATCTCTTTTTTAACTGAATTTTTTCATCGGGAAATCTCGGTTTCAAGCAGACTTGGACTCCTTCGACTACCGAGCGTTCCCGAGTAAAGAACAAAATAAGGGTAGCTGCGGATTTAAATCAAGAACTGAATTTTGTAAAGAGTAATCACTGACCCTGCCGACGTTATTTGGACGGTAATACTGTATATCCTCTTTCTTGGGCGGCGGCGTTTTCGGGACGGAGCCGTCTTCGGCATAATTCGCGAGCACGTCCCGCGGCGAATACTCTCGGGTGGTTACCTCCCGGTCCGAGATTGTATTATTTTTTGTTTAATAATATTGCGCTTAATTTCTGTGTCACTATGGGCTTACAACGAAGGCTTTATCAAAACATTTCGCGCATATCATGCTTTTACCGGGCATCAAATCCATGCCGTGCAGCTTTCGATCGATAGTCACGGGATTTTTGCCCTTCCTAGTAAGAGCAACCTTCGCCGTTTTCATCGTCATAGCTATTTTACAGCAGAATTAGATAAAAACAGGAAATAGCAAATTAAGTTGAAAATCTACTTCGAAATTTGCGTTGCCGATGCGTTGCGTTGTAAACTGCCGTGTGGAATTTTTAATGTTGCGTGTCAACCGTCTTACCAGTCACACAGCGCTATGTGGGCTATTTTAATTTACAGCATGGCGTAAACAACATCATCAGCCACCAAGAGAACAGAGAATATCAACTGGTTTGCATTTGGCCATATGATCTTAAAATCTGAATGGATAGATTTGTGCTAAGGGGTATTATTTACGAGTACTGTATATAAGGCTGATGAGAATAGGTAAACACACACCAACCTCATGGGAATAGGTAAAGATTTTGGCGTCTCCGTCAAACTGGGCATGACTGGCATGTGAAGTACAAACAACCGGAAGTTTCCGGATGGTATCCGGGTATGAACACACGGTAACACACCGGATATCGTCCGAAAACTAGTTCCGTAGAATTCAGTGTCATCTAAATCCGGCTTTCTCCGTCAGAGTTTGAAAACAAATGATACTTCATTTAGTTGAGCGCCTAATGGCGGCTTTCGCCCCTCAGGATATCCGCCTTGACAAAATTAATAGCGTCCGAATAGCAAGACGCAAGGTCCGCACCGATGGTATTTTGCATTATTAATAATATTAGATAATCCAACTTTACAGCCGGCAGTTGTTTTCCTTGGCAGCAGAGAAAAAGACCAGAATCATCGTAAGCGTAGCTTGAAGAAACTTTACAGAAAACTTGTAAGGATTTAACAGTTTACTGCAGTGCAACTGAGTCATACATAAGATTTTGCGCGCGGATATTCTATTGGCTAGAAGAATGTTATCATCATTCATCATTACACTAATTTTTATGCGTGTCCTGCCTCTGGCAATATTAGCAAACAACGCTTGCTGCGGATCCTAACTGTTACTAACCGCTTTAACGAACCGTCAACGTCAAAGTGTTTCGGGAGTTCTGGCATGGTATATAATGTACGTTGCTAGCATATTCGCAAGTTCTTTCCTCCCAAATTACTTGAATCCCGCCGTGAAATTAAATGCTATAGATTATCGCCATTCTATTTTGATGTTGATAAGAACGGCATAATGATCCGAACAACGCAGCACTTCACAACTACCATCACTCCATTGACTCCTCCACCTTCGGACGGCAACGAATATGAAACCCTCACTTTCAGCAGCTGTGCGGATTTTTTAGCGCATAATCTCAGCTTGGCGGATTTGGTGCCTTCCCAGGGCAACAGTACCATGACGAGCAACACGGATTCCTGCGGATTCCGTATACTAGATCATAATTTGATCGCGCAACACCCGGTTAAATATCTATACTGGGTTACCTATCCGCTGCTCCTGCTGATCTGCACAGTGGGCAATACATTGACGCTAATTGTATTATCGCGGGAGGGAGCTCAGAGTGTCAAATGGATCTTCCTCATGGCCCTGGCCTTTTCCGATCTGATGATAATGTGCGCGTTTTTTTGTAAATACTTCGTATGTTTATCGCATTATTTATTAAGTGACTATCTGTATTTGCGGGCCTGCATAATTTGATAATTATTTACTTATAATAGTATGTTTCTCGTCGTTAACGGTATCTCGGATGTGGTACGATCCAGGAGTCCAGGACCATGATTTATCTGACAATTGCATTGTTCGTATAGGTGGGCTCAGTTCTTTCCTTGGGTAGCCGAGATCGCCGGCAATATCGACGGAACGGGGTTCGATGTCTTCATGGGGGGTTTCGGCGGCGCCTATGCGTTCCTTGAGGAAATGTTCTTAACAAGCTCCGACTGGTAATTATTCCTACGTTAATTCGGCTGTCCATTGTTCTGTATCCCAAATCAGTAAAAACTTGACTCGGTTAAGATCGACAAGGTCAGCAGGGCATGAGCTCGGATGAAAAGCTCGGGTATCGATGAACGTATTGTAATGTACGCAACCATCCTCGGCTGCCCTTTTTAGTGTAAATTGCTCACAGCTGGTTGCCCTATAGAATTGCTTCACAAAATGATCCCAAATCAAGCTCTTGCTTCTCACTGCAAACTGAATTCATAAAACTACCAAACCAATTTCTAAAGTAGCAGAAAAATAATCAGAATTTTTCGGATACCGCACTGCAACTACAGGCTCCTGTGACAACCGATTTGAGTAAGAGAATTTTATATTTTCTCGTAAAATTAGCACAAAATCGTCGCGTGGACTCCTGATCCTCGTATCCATAAAATTTCCATGCCTAAATTGCATAAATTTTGATGTTACTTAAGAAACCAGCGCTGATTACTGCATGGCGCCGTGCACCAAGAAACAACTGCTGATTTAGGACTAACCCCAATGCCTTTTGCTGCAGGATTCTGGTAGCGTTCAGCATCGAGCGCTTTGCAGCCATTGCGTTCCCGGTATGGTATGATGTTATTCTGGCCAAGGTGTCCAGAACCATTCGCGCCGTGATCTCTGTTGTCGGCATCTTCACGCTGGCGGCCGTTTATTCACTGTGGAATTTATTCGATTCTTATTGGTTCTACTACAATGACGATAAAAGGTGTCCTGTCGTGCTGATTAAACCGCCACAGTATATTAAAGACTGGAGAACCATCTACGTAATGGCTTCGGTAAGCGCGTTGTCCTACAGCCTCGAATATCCATTGCAATGGTAAGAGTACTGAGATCAGTGAGATGCACAGCATATTATAATAAATGGCGCGAATGTACTTACGTTCTTTCCTCGCTGGTTGGCAGCGTGGTACACCAGCTTTAAATCGAGTCTGTTGGCCAGAGACCGGAGAGCGCTCGAGCACAAGCACGTCCAAGTACTGTAGTGCAACGAGCATATGTAACTAATAATGTAAGCAAACGTTCAGTGGTAAACCTGAGCTATGTATAATGTAGAACTAAAAATGTCGAAAACGACCAATCGGTTAGTGTGTGCAGATCCATGCGTCCGCAAGCACAAGCAGGGCACAAGCACTGTGGCACGTTGCAAAGGGCAGTTTCCCATACATCAACAGACTTGATCGAGCCGCTACAGTAATAAAAACAACAAATTGCTTGTTCCACAATCACACCTGATGCTCAGAAATCGCCAGTACTTGGATCAAACATTGCTTAGCAGTACGTCTAGTAAGCTCTTAAACGAAGCGTCTGCTTTTTAGCCCTACATTGTGTCACTTTGTGTGGCTGCGAATCGCTCATCAGTCATCGTATTGTACCGCTCACATCCGTGTAGTTGTGAATAAAGCTCAGGCTGAGACGATAATTTGAGTACGAATAGGGATTATTAAGTCAGTTCGAACCACTCTCGGTCTGGCGCGGAGCAAGGCTTGAACACCGTGATCACGCGCAAAATACCACCGAGCGCCACCGAGTAAAATATTTACCGAAAATAACGTAACTGTTGAACCTGGCCGGACACCAGGGGTCGGTAGGAATAACTATTTTGAAAACACTTCGCCGATCCTTGATGACTGGCCGGCTGAAAGGTGACAGGCATCGGCCTAGCAGCCATGTCATGCTTGCTCGAGTGCATCGAGCTAACTTGATATGTTCTCGTAGTCGTTCGTGCTGTATTATTTATGATGCAGGAAACTAACTAAGAGCAAGTGATATTGTAGATAATCGTTCCCGCCGTCAACTTTGGCTTGATCCTCTTTCTGAACTCTTTCGTCACGTTACGCCTTCTGTATTACCGCCAGTTCCGCCAGCAGCCCGTCCACATGAATAACCCGTGTGGCTCACAGGCCTGGCAAGCCACCCGGATGCTCTTCGCCACCGCCGTCGTCTACTGCGCCACCCAGACCTTTCCCCTCGTCTTTCTCATAATGCGTCGCCTGGTGGGATACCCTCGCTGCAGCTACTTTATCAACGAAGACACTTACGCAAAATTCGCTCGCACTAACGCGTTACTTGTCAATATCAACTATTCCATTAATTTTTTACTGTACTCGCTCATCAGCACCGGGTTCCGGCAGCTCCTCTGGAAGTTCATCACCAGAAAATCGAAGGATAAGAGGGTACGCTGGTACCATGTGTTCGGTGCGCGGAAAACCAATCAGGCCATTCCGCTGTCAACAGTGAACGCGACAGATCACGAGGGCGGTGACCGTGACGATCAAGAGCGGGCCAGTATCAACACACAGATGTCAGCGGTGAAGTCCGGATGGACGATTAGGACGGGGACCTCGCTGACGGATGACAGTGCCGGCAGCATCCCGGGAATACCGCTGCGGGATAGTTTTTGTTTGTGACATAACAGAGGACAATTACCAAGAGTTGGTCACTCCGAATCCCTGTGAAGCCAGACAAAGAACATAAATTACGTGGCGTTTTTTCCTGCTTTAACGCATGCATGTACCTCAATGTACAGACAAACTGACTGCTCTGTGACCGCATTCTTAACTCTTCCTCGCGCTGAGTGATAGCCTGAGTCATACATGTAACGGGCTTGTTTATAACAATTAACATGTTAACAAAAATTGTAGAAGGATAGCAATCGGTCTAGCTCATGAACTCGGGCTCGCACAGGTGACACAGCTGTGAACTGGCAAGTTAGAGAAATTGAAAAGAACGAGGTGACCAGCTTCCTGTTAAGAAACTTAAACGGATGGCCTGTGCACTTACTTGACTGAGGCATCGAAAAGCCACATCAACTAACCAACCAGCATAAAAAATTACAAAGCTTTAAACAAAACAAATGTTGAAAACAAAACAAGCACTTGTTGCAGTTGGAAAATTTGTTTGGGAAAAAATTACCCGGAAATTTACGTTAGTTTTGTGGTTTTATTGGATGTCGAAGGTGTTAAAGTAAAAATTACAGTGTCGTGCACTCGGAGAAAAATGCATTATGATGCTGGATCGATAAAAAAGCCTTTAATAAAGAAACAGCTTTTGATAAAGTCTCGAAATTCGCCTTGATTATGCTCAGAGTGTTTTGGGGAGTGTTTTATTTACATAGATAACGTGAACGCAAACGTTGTCGTTTGTTTAATGAACTGAATCGAGTTACAGTTTACAAACAAAGAAACTGTTCGGCAGTGCTGTTTCCACTGCCGCTTTAAGTACTGTATTACGCCATTGATTTATGCAGCATTCTATTCAAACTGGAAGGGCCCACTCATGTAGTAAATCCAAGTTTTTGTTTTCGTGTTAACTTTTCCCGGTTTTTTTCTTTACAGGAGCAATAACAGCTTTCAGTTGCGCATATGTGCTTATATTTTGTACCATCGTTGGTTCCTTCTCTATTATCACGCTTGTGCACAGTTAAAGTAAAAACTGGGAAGTGGGGCTGCATAGTGCATAGAGGAATGGGTGATAAGAATTGTTCGAATGATGAAGGGCGTTGTGCTGCACAATGTTGCTTTTGTTCATCTGTACTCTGCCTTTATTTGTAAAGGAAGTGGCGCAGATACGGAGCAACAGATTCGCGTAAATGGACGAGAACTGTCGCTTTTTCGCGCTCCCCAGTAGGGCCAGTACTGTTTCTTTGTTTAATTACATTCTTTACCCAGGTGATTTGTCTACGCTCGCGTGAAACCCGTTTGTGTGCGCAGGGAGTTATGGGTGAAATAAAATCCGAAAAACTTTAAATGCATCCCCAGAGTCTTATTATAAACTGATTTGCTTAAATTTTGCACGTGAATGCGCATCAGCAAAAAAGCTCTGATTATACCGAACCTTCATTTCCATCTTCTTTTTAACTTTAAAATAAATTTTAAAATTTGAAAAATTACCATGGTTCTGTGTGAAAACGATCTTCGTACTAAATGCGTAAAAATCATTTGGCTACAGAAAACCGTAGAAAAACGTCTGCGAATGCGCGAAAACGGCAGTTCGCGTACATATGCACGCGTTTGGTATAACACGTGCTCTAAAGGTGATGAGCCGATAACTGAAGCAATCCCAAAATTTATTCTTCCTCTAACACATCAGCGGCTTTTCGCGAAATTACAGCACCGAAAATGATTACGATTCTAAATACTACATAATACGCGCTGGAAACCAAAACAAAGGACAAGCTTTCCCCTCTTTTTGAAAGATTAAAATACATTCAGCACATTAATTTATAATTGGATCGTATTGCCATACCATTAATGATAATACCCAATACCCATAACTGATCGAGAAAGATTTCATCAAAGCATATTCATTTCCATGCTTGCGATAGACACCGTCAGTACTTCTGTTATCTTGTTGGCGTAACAATCATTCAGTGCTCGTATATTTTGACCTAGGGTGCCATGGGATTCACTCTTCCTTTGCAGATTCGCAGTGCGTACTGAAGTACGTTGCTGGCGGTTAAAAAAAACAGAACCGGATAGAGGATAAGTTGAATGGCGTAAAGGATTGACAGGGCTTGATAAAAGGCTGCACCCATCAGGATTTTGGGGAAGGCGCCTAAAATAATATAGTACCACATACTGGGCTGCCAGCATACCACGGTACTGCACGAGTACATAGTAACCAGCACGAAAGGGCGGTAGTTATTTTCCCGCTTCACATCGTTGCGTTGCATGGTTGGATTGTCAGCAGGGTTGATTCGTCCAGCACGCCTGCGCCGTGACAGCATCTTCCACAGTAAAACCGGGTAGATAACCGGGATCACCACTACTGGCACGCTAAAAATCCAAATATTTGTAATCTGCGTGAGAGTAAACTGAAGAGGGGTATTTAGCCGGCATCCTTTTTCCAGGGGATCACGATAGTAGACATCATCCAGGATTACTTCTGGCAGCATCCAAATGTGAGCGTAAATGACAGCAGCGCAGCAGAGCAAGCAAGCGGTGGTACGATTATGCCGGTTCCGATAAGATATTGGCGCGAACAGTGCCCATGCGCGATTCAAGGAGATGAGTAAATGACAATGGTAAATCAACGGAGCGATTACATACAAAGAATACAGGCGTAACGTGCATACCCAGTTACCCATAAAGACATTCCCGAATGCGTCCTGGAGAAGGATGATAATATAGTCTATAGCCACAAAACCCAAATTACTGAACATTAGAGCCATTACGTAAATGTTGAACGGTATCCGCAGCGACTTGTTGGTCAGTGTCCAAATCAGCGCCATGAAGTTAAACATAACAATAAGAATCTCCGTAATTATAAAGCTGGCCTTTGCTGATAGTCCTAATGACGAACTATATCCAGGCTGAAATGTTCGTGTGCTGTTGATATTGCCCGTTGAGTTGAACACCTGTTGTGTTGAAATCCATTGTCTCAATTTATGTCTAAACGTCAGACGTTAAGTGAAAGGCACAGCAGCTACTTCAAAGAGCAGACTCTGATGATCGCATACAGTCGTAATATAGGAGTCGGAGGGCTTAGCAAAAGAAAGAAATATATATTTATACTTATTCCTTTTCAGGGGAAGTAGGTTAATTTCGCAAGACATCCGGATTCTGTGGAATATTTTCCGGTTTTTCCAGGAGCGATCATGGACCGGATACATGGCACTGCGCAACTGTCGCTGCAGCGGAAAAATTTTCTGTCTGTTGGTGCGTTTTCGGCACAGCAAGGGCGATCTTAATATATTTATTAGATGTCATCTGATATAATCGGAAGGGTTTTGACTAGTTCCGAACAATCGCCGAATACCAAAAACCACATTTGCTTTTAAGTTCTCCTGCTGCCTGGAAACCAATCTTTAATTAGCTTCTTCAAAGGGAATTAACAACGCAGCGGAATTTAAAAAGCCGACTGATTTTCATGACAAATGACCCCGCCTTGATTGGCAGCAAAATTGCGCACCTTCGCATCGTGTAAACCGCAGACAAGAGTGACCGCAGCCGTTATGCGAAGGTGCAAATTCATGCCATATCTTTGGCAGGGGGCAAAACGTGGCAGTGGCACCTGCCAGTGGCAATGCCAATGGCATGGCAAGCGATAAAACCTGGAGACTTTGGCAACTGGCAAACGATAAAAGCTGGCAGATGCCGCATAAACTATGGCACCTCGTATAAGCTGGTTCGGAGAGTTTGGTCAAATATACAGACTACAGAATCAGTACAGAGTATAATTATTCTTGAAACTCTTGCCAGAACACAGTTAATTTTCCTGGATAGAGCTATGTGCCGTGTACGAAGTGCGTAAGAGTTCGACGGTATATCATGAAATTTTGAAAGGTCAACTTTGTGCATCTTGCTGTTTGCACAAAGTACCGCAAGAAAAGCCGCGGTAAAAATACAATCGCGACTCGTCCGGAACGCTCAACGCTGGAATAGAAACATGCCGGCTTTGACATGCTAGTTTTTAGCTAAACCGTCCTAGTTTTCATACATATGCTCAGAATGTACTCGTATTCTTATGTTTTCTTATGCTTTTTTCTATTTTCTCATGTATCGTCGCCCTCGTGACGATCGACGCAGTGTTAGTCGACCAAATGGCGGTGAGCCATGTGTGTGCCTCCGCATAATTTTGCAGGTTGTGGTGCACTAATGTGCTAATGTTCGGCTACCCAAAAAAATGTTAAAGCTTAGAAACACGTAAAACTGTTCTGAACAGTTTATTTTAACGATTTTTTGAAGCAGCCATGCCAGTTTAGTTTCGGGTTGGACAAAAGCTTTAATTACTTCGTGGCTGGGAGCCTGGTGCTCCTGAACCAGTCTTTGTCAGTGACAAAAAAGAAATCCGTCAACTCTTAGCCTTCTTGTTCGCATGGTGGAAAAGTGTTTTTAGTAAACCAAGTACGTATCTCGATCCCTTAATTAGTTCTACAGGGCTGTTTCTGTGCTTTTAGGACAACACGCTTTTTCTAGACTTAGGCTGCTTTGCCGCGGTAAGAGCAATATGCGGCACTGTAACTGGTTCTACAGTATTTTGCTGCACACTGCGCTCTGATAGCTTGTCGGCTGTTTTGTCACAGTTCGCGATTATTTGGCAAAAACAACTGGATCTATGCCATTAATATTTTTATATTTGAATCTTTATAATTTTTTACCGGATGGTGCCGGTACTCAAAGACGGCCATCTGTTCGTATTACAGCAGCGCACGGTCGGTTCTGTCTTTAACAGAAGACGTTGTACGAGGGAATACAAGACGCATTTACATACCAACCTCGACACAGTCGGTGACTCGGTAAGGCACTCTCTCAAACCACTCATGCGGGTAATGTGTGTTGGAAGCCTGGAGGGGTTAAGGTAACACGCGTGTAAGATTTTCCTTCTAAAAAATGGGTGTGTGGAAAACGTGCCATGCATCTGTAGGTGTCCAGGGCTCGCTGTCTATCTTATCTACTAGTTCATTCATCAGCATGGTGAGCCAGTGTGTCTTTGCGCCTTGCAGCACACCCGTGACGTGTATAATATTACTGGTCGAAGAAGGACGCGATAACGATTGAGAGGATTTCGAGTTTAAAATTGGTTTTCTACACCGAATGTAGCCATACCAATATACAGCTAAAATCTGTGGTTTTGAATTATTATTTTACGTAATCTGCAAATTGCGCCAACCTTGGTTTCTTAGAAGTCACCTGGCTAGCCCATATTACAGGCTGCGGCAAAATATTTAGCCAACTGAAAACCGCCTGAAAACCCGCAGTGCAAAATAGTATAGCAAAGG